CGTTCACACGGATCCGCAAAAACAACTAAAAACGCTGTATTCTGCCAATGAAACGCTACAGACTGAACACGTAATACGCATGTGCATGACATCATCGTCTGCAGAGATTCATGTTTTTGTTGTTCACACGGAGAGCGTTTTCAAAAACTTGCACTTTGAAACCCATTTTCAAAAGTTTGCATTTTCAAAACGCAAAAAAAATCCTACGGTAACTTTATTTTGGATGGCCATTGTATTGATGGCCCAGATGATTTATTGGGACACCAGATTCAGGAGCCAGTCGGATTATTTTAAACATGGATATTCATAAAGCTTCTGCCTCATCTGTACATTAAAACATCATCAGCTCACATGTGTTTCAGTCAAACTCAGTTCAAATCTTTCTCTGTTTGATTCACTCACGTTTTCTAAATCAATGCACTGACAGACGCTCGGCTCTGATCTCTGAGCATGTTGTCTGAGGATCTTGCTCGAGTTGCTAAAAAACAAGAAATGCTGGAGGAGCTAATGTCGGAAGTCAAACAATTGGAAAGTTTGGTAAAAGAAAAGGACATGATGATCGACCAGTTGGAAAGAAGGATTGATGAGTTGGAACAAAATGCAAAAGGGAATGACTTGATTATTAGTGGGCTAGATATCCGAAATAGATCTTACTCAAGTGTGACTTTTTTGCCTGGGAATGTTGTGAAACTGGATGGATGGACTGTTTGTGTACACGGATCAGAGATAGAGGATTGGGCTTACAAGTGTTGCATATTTTAAAAGACAATGACTGATTGTATGTTTAAAGATTACGTGTTTCCCTTTACTGATGGACATGACAAAGACTTAGACCAGCCGAAGAGTGATAAAATGGACAATGAAGTGCCAATGTCAAGTTTGGTAACACCATATCTGAATTACTGGCACAGTGGAAGATTAGAAGATTTGGATGAAAGAGTGTTTGATGTGGGGAGTGAAATAGACCCTGAGAGGAATTTTTATTATGACTCCACAACAGATGGGTCCAACTGTAAATATTTCACTGAAAAACAATTCAATGACATTGTAGAGAGGGATGGAGTGTATATTATCCATCTCAATTTCGGCAACATCATGGATTATTTGAAGCGGCTGAAGAGGGTATTTGATGTCATTGCAATTTCAGAGACATGGTTGCGAAATTACACTGCTGAAGACTTTGGAATGACAGGCTATGAAATGTTCTTTCTAAATCGGACTTTAAAGAAGGGAGGTGAAGTGGCCTTATATGTTAATACTGCCCTGCAATGCAAGCAGGTTGTCTCTATGTCGAAAGAATGTGCTGGCAATTTTGAAATAGTCACTGTAGAAATAGAGATGAAAACAAGTAGAAATCTAATAGTTAGTTGTGTGTATAGAGCGCCTGGAACATGTATTGACAAAATAAATGATCAATTAGTTTGTATGTTTGAGAAGGTGGTAGGTAGAAAAAATGTTTTTGTTTGTGGAGATTTTAATGTTGATCTTTTGAATCCACAAGGCCACAAAGGTACCACAGACTTTATTTATACAATGGATAGCTTAGGTTTATTTCCAGCAATCACAAAGCCGAGTAAAATTACAGGACAAAGTGCTACATTAATTGACAATATTTATTCAAATGTTGTTGATAATGACATTTTAGGGGGATTGTTGGTGGAAGACATAAGTGACCATTTGCCAATTTTTGTTTATTATAATTGTAAATTAAATGAAGAAGCACCTGTAAGGAGGAAAAGAGAATGGAGGCTGAGGACTCCTGTAACCTTGAAAGCCTTTAAGGAAGATCTATTAAGATATAATTGGGAAAATGTTTATGTTAATGGTGTAAATGAAGCGTATGGCTCTTTTCTGAATATTTATTTAAAGTTATATGAAATTAATTGTCCTTTAAAAATGTACATTGAGAAAAATAGGGAACAAAAACCCTGGATGACAAAAGGGTTACTTAATGCATGTAAAAAGAAAAACACACTATATAGGGCTTTCTTAAGACAAAGAACGGAAAAAGCTGAGATGAAATATAAGGCATATAAAAATAAACTAACGAAAATACTTAGGTTAAGGAAAGAGACATATTATAGTAGTTGTTTAGAGGAAAATATAGGAAATATGAAAGGAATGTGGAAAGTTCTAAATGGGTTAATAAGAAATAAAGTCAATGAAGCTGCATATCCTAAATTTATAATAAAAGATAATATGTGCATAGACAAGAAACAAGATGTGGCTGAAGAATTTAATGATTTTTTTGTTAATGTGGGACTGAATCTCGCAAGGGATATTGTTGAACCAAAAGAGAAAAATGGATTGGATTAATTAATTGAAAACAATCTGCAAAGTTTGTCTCTAAGTGAGGTTAGTGAATCTGAAGGTTGTTTAAAGCAGGTAATAAAAATGATTTATCGAATTATAGACCTGTATCACTTCTTCCACACTTTTCTAAAATATTGGAAAAACTTTTTGTTAAAAGGTTGGACAGTTTTATTAATAAATATAATATTTTGATTGAGCAGCAGTATGGATTTCAGGCCAAGCAGTTGACCGGACTTGCAATAATGAAACTAGTGGATGAGTTAAGTAAGGCTATTGATGATAACAGAGTTAGTCTGGGTGTCTTCATTGACCGGAAAAAGGCATTCGACAGTATAAATCACGATATTCTTCTGAAGAAGCTGTTTAATTATGGGGTCAGAGGGGTTGCATATTCTTGGATTTGTTCTTATATAAATAACAGAACACAATTTGTTTCAGTTGATGGAATTATGTCAAGTCCCCTGAAAATCCTTTGTGGGGTTCCACAGGGCTCGGTCCTGGGACCCAAATTGTTTATTTTATATTTAAATGATCTCTGTAGGGTCTCAAGTGTTCTCAAGCCTATTCTTTTTGCGGATGATACCAATTTTTTTTTTTTTTTCTGGGAAAGAGTTGGACATTGTGAGAAATGTGGAAAGGGAGATGGAATGGGTTAAGAAATGGTTTGATATTAATAGGCTGTCACTGAATATGAGTAAAACAAAGTTTATGATTTGGGGTAAAAATAGTGTGACAGAAGTGAAAGTAAGAATAGGGGAGGAGGAAATAGAAAGAGTAAATGAAATCAAATTTTTGGGTGTTATATTAGATTGTAAATTGGGGTGAAAAAAGCATATTATGTAAAATCTAAAAGATAGTTGCGATATTAAATAAGATTGGGAATTTGTTAAATAAGAAGGCATTATTTATGTTATATGCATCATTATTTGTTCCATATTTAACGTATTGTCTGGAGATTTGGGGTAATACGTATAAGACATACACCCAACCACTTTTTATTTTACAAAAGAGAGCTTTACGTATTATTACAAGATCACAATATAGGGATCATACTAACAATTTATTTTTTAAAATTTAACATTCTTAAATTTTATGATTTAGTGGATTACAAGGTTACATTGATAATGTATAAAGTATACTATAAAATGCTGCCTGATAAAGTTTTGAGTATGTTTGAGAAACGTTATTGTAAGTATGAGTTAAAAGGAACATGTTTGTTTAAAAAACTGAAGGTACGAACAAATATTAGATATAGAACTATCTCTGTAAGAGGAGTGAATTTATGGAATTGTTTGCATATAGATATTAAATTGACACAAACAATAAGTGGATTTAAACGGCTCCTAAGAAACAAGATGATACTTTCATATAGATAGGTTCTGGGTAATTAATATCTATGACTTTGTTGTTTCAAGTGTTTGTAAGAGAATTGTGCACTGTTTGACTGTTGTAAAAATTGAGAGGGATAGGCGTCAATAAGCCTTGAGCTTCAGCCTATACCCTTTGGTTTAATCAAAAGTTATGTATATGATGAGTTGAATATTTGTTATTGTACATTTGTTAACGATAAACCAAATAAAATGAAATGAATGTTTCCATGGTGACGCGTCATTGCTTGTCACGTGACAGCGCAACCAACAACACTGCGCTGAATGAATAATGATCTGCTTTTATGTCATTTTTCCTTTTTTATTAAAAATATTCACAAATGTATTAGCTATAGCATGAAACACTGATATTGCGATTGTCAAATGTGTGCAAGTGGATGTGTTTTGTTTAAACACCTGTATAACGATCGCGTTAGTTGAGCTGTATGCGCGATGGGCGGCGCCATTTTAATTTGTTTCACAGTTCAGAGAATCGGATGATGGATTTACAACACGTCAATTCCTCCACTTGTCACGAAATACATTAAAGTAAGTGGCCGGTGAACTGGGAGAAGAATAGGGTCAAATGTAAAGCTGCTTACACAATGTGTATCTGATATGAATAAAACGTGTCGTCTTATTATAATGGAAAAGATTATTATTGCCGCTTCCATAGACATCAGTGTGTATTTTACAAACTCAAAATCATTGTTTTGCTAGTATTTATGTGTATTTAAATGTCTGAAACCTAAAATAAACATTATGTGGTTGAAAACACTCAATAGGTGCCAGCCAAAGCGTGGAAGCACATTTGAATTTAGCAGTTGATCACGTGATGCACTGACCGTTCTAATCACATCGGTGTGATCGTACGTGTGAAAGGATTAAAAGACCTCTTCAGACAATATCAAGTATTCATTCAGTTATCAGTTATAAGTTTAACAATGAGATGGTCACTTAAACTATTGGCTTCAATGACCCCTAAATGTTTTAACACATTAAAGACAATGTCTTCTAAAACACAAAACAAGTCCATATTTCGTTTCTGGAAGGCGGAATAAATGAGCAAGCACTGTTACTGCATTCAGATATCAAATACAGACATTAAAGAATACATAAAAAGAACATTTCAGTAATCACACTGGTAACTCCTATAACAAAGTAAAATCTCCAGAGAAGTCATTCAACTCATTTGATATTAAAAGGAAAAATATTGATTAATACCTTGATTATAATCACTTATTACATATACATTGAAGCAGCAGTGGATTACAATCCACCCCTTCAATTTATAAAACAAATATATATATATGCCCTTTTTTACATTTGAACCCCTGCCCTTGAGGAACTCTCTGCACATCCCTTCACTGAGTGGATCTTCATGTGTAGCTTCAGGTGAGCTTTTAAAGTGAAACTCTTTCCACACTGATCACACGTGTGTGGCTTCTCTCCGGTGTGGATCCTCTCATGTGTTTTCAGAGATGATGACTGATTGAATCTCTTTTCACAGTGTGAACACTTGTAAGGTTTTTCTCCAGTGTGGATCCTCTCATGTGTTTTCAGAGATTCTGACCGATTAAATCTCTTGTCACAGTGTGAACACTTGTAAGGTTTTTCTCCAGTGTGGATCATCTGGTGTTTTTTTAAACCGTCCGCTGTAGTAAAAGTCTTCTCACACTCAAAGCACATGTACTCTCTCACAACAGTGTGAGTTTTCTCATGTTTACGTAAAGTTGGCAGCCATGAAAAACTCTTTCCACACACAGAACATGAATGCGGCTTCTCCTTCATATGAACTCCCAGGTGTCTCCTCAGGTTTGATGCCCATTGAAATGTTTTGCCACATTGATCACATGTGAACGGCTTCTTTCCGGTGTGGATCCTCATGTGAAGATTAAGGGATGTTGATTGAGCAAAACATTTCCCACACTGATCACATGAGAACGGCTTTTCTCCAGTGTGGATCCTCATGTGCATATTAAGATTATTTTTTTGTGTAAAGCTCGTCCCGCACTGATCACATGTGAACGGCTTCTCTCCGGTGTGAACTCTCATGTGAAGCTTAAGATATTTTTTGTTTGAGAATCTCTTTTCACACTGATCACACATGAATGGTTTCTCTCCAGTGTGGGTTCTTGTATGAAAGTCAAGACTTTGTTTGTCTGAGTAACTCTTTTCGCACTGATCACATGCATACGGCTTCTCTCCAGTGTGGATCCTCATGTGTCCTTGAAGGTGTTGTTTTTGTGTGAAGCTCGTCCCGCACTGATCACACGTGTGCGGCTTCTCGCCTGTATGAACTCTCATGTGAATCTCAAGACGTTGTTTGGTTCTGAAGCTCTTCCAACACCGATCACAGGCGAACGGCTTCACTCCAGTGTGGATCTTCATGTGAAAATTAAGACTTCCTCTGTATGGAAACCTCTTCTCGCACTGATCACAGGCGAACGGCTTCTCTTCAGTATGAACTATCATGTGCAAATTAAGACTTTCTCTGTATGGAAACCTCTTCTCGCACTGATCACAGGCGAACGGCTTCTCTCCAGTATGAACCATCATGTGACGCTCAAGACTATGTTTGGTTGTAAAACTCTTTCCACAATGAGTGCAGGTGAAAGATTTCTCTCCGGTGTGGATCCTCATGTGAACATTAAGGGATGATGATTGAGCAAAAAATTTTCCACACTGATCACATGAGTACGGCTTTTCTCCAGTGTGGATCCTCATGTGAATAATAAGATTATGTTTTTGTGTGAAGCTCGTCCCGCACTGATCACACGTGTGCGGCTTCTCTCCAGTGTGAACTCTCATGTGACGCTCAAGATATTTTTTGTTTGAGAATCTCTTTTCACACTGATCACACATGAATGGTTTCTTTCCAGTGTGGATTCTTTTGTGAAGGTCAAGACATTGTTTGTTTGAGTAACTCTTTTCGCACTGATCACATGCATACGGCTTTTCTCCAGTGTGGATTCTCATGTGTCCTTGAAGGTGTTGTTTTCGTGTGAAGCTCGTCCCGCACTGATCGCACGTGTGCGGCTTCTCGCCTGTATGAACTCTCATGTGAATCTGGAGACTTGGTTTGGTTGTGAAACTGTTTCCACACTGAGTGCAGGTGAAAGATTTCTTGGCTTTTGTTTTCTTTAAAAATGTCTTTTTAGTCTTTGAGCGACTCAAAGGTTTTTCTCCAGGCTTGACATGATGTTCCTCCTCCACTTCACTCAGTTCTTCTCTCTCCTCCTTCACTTCACTCAGTTCTTCTCTCTCCTCCTTCACTTCACTCAGTTCTTCTCTCTCCTCCTTCACTTCACTCAGTTCTTCTCTCTCCTCCTTCACTTCACTCAGTTCTTCTCTCCCCACGCTCTCTTCCATTAGGGCTGAAATCAAAGAGAAAAAGTTATTTCATTTTCAGTACAACAAAAAATATAGCTGCGAGCAGCGATTACGGGCCCAAGCCGGTGGCACCGCAACCCCGGTGCCTTTAGGTAACTAAAGGCACCGGAGTGGCGGTACCGCCGCCTTTGGCCCGTAATCGCTGCTCGCAGCTATATATATATATATATATATTAGGGCTGTCAGTTAAACGCGTTATTAACGGCGTTAACGCAAACCCATTTTAACGGCGTTAATTTTTTTATCGCGCGATTAACAGTCTTTTTGGCCTAGTAAACTTTGTAGTTTTTTTTCACATGCTTTTGCAACAGGACGCGGCATGCGCGGCGCTGCGCTATGAAACCCATTCATTTTAATGGCTTGCGCCGCGCGAGCACGTTTTGAAAGCGCAAGCGGATCTAGCTAGACCGGAAACAAAACAACAGGCACGCCACACACACTTGTTTGGGCTTGCGAGCCGGATGCGCGAGCGCGAATCTCTCTGCTCGCGCGCGGAATATAATGTGCCGAGCACGAATCTCTCTGCTCGAGTCGCGCGCTCTCAGATACACGCTGCTCTTGTAAGACTTTTATCTGGGCTCGCTCAGAGAATATGCCTGCACTTAAAACGTGTTCAGTCAGTGCAATCGCGAATCTCTCCTCTTCCCCAGCTAACAATTTTAGGTTATAAGAACGTTTTCATAACGTTCCCATTAAGTTATAAAAACGTTATTTCTGAATGTTATAGGAACGTTCAAAACGTCCAGTTGGGTACCTTTATGGGTACCCAATGGATGCCAATAAGATTCTGAATGGAAAGTTTACTTTTAAAAAGTTGCCAAATGGTTCCATTGACAAGACCAAAGTGATCTGTGTGTTTTGTCGTTGTGAACGGAGCTATCATCATCGCAGCACGTCCAGTCTTAAATACCACTTGATGGCCAGCACACACACACACACACACACACACACACACACAGCTGATGCGAATTCTCCACCCCCTCGTCAATATCAGGACCTCGTCAGTGTTTCTTTCACCCTTTTTTTGATGGACAGTGTTACATTGTGAGAGAGATTCTTTGCTCCAAGTGAGAATGTTTTAGTATGAAATTGAACAGTATATATGCCAATATTGTTTTCAATAAAAAACATTTGCACAAAGCAAGCCAATCCACTTTTCCATGTTGATAAGAGCATTAAAATGAAAAAAAAATAATGGGACAAAAAGAAATCAAGAGACATTTAGAATAGATAAAAATGTGCGATTAATCGCGAGTTAACTATGACATTAATGCGATTAATCGCGATTAAATATTTTAATCGTTTGACAGCACTAATATATATATATAAAGCCGGTTGCACCACCACCCTGGTGCCTTTAGGGTTATTGTGCACGACGTGCAAAAAAACGTAACCCTGCTTTGACTGTCGAAAAGAAGTGTGCTGTAGAGCTTGTATTGGTGTGGGCTCTGCAAAAGTGCGCATCGAGGGCACATATCAATCACAAAGTATGCGTGAGCAACCTTCTGAAAGGTCAGGTCTACATCCAGGTCTACATCTGCCGTGTGTTTACATTATAGTAGTGAAGTTTGAAGCAAATCAGGTAAAAATAAGAGGGTGATTTCAAATCATTTTGAAAGTGACACACTTCCTGCTGCCAGTTGGTGGTGCTATAACCAGGGTTGCGGTGCCACCGGCTTGGGCCCATAATCGCTGCTCGTAGCTATAAATATATATATATATACACACATCCTAAAATAATTTTAAAGTTTGATGCGTTGCCACGGCAACAGTATCAAAGATATCAAGAATCCATTAACAGGTCTACATCTGCCGTATGTTTACATTATACAGATGAAGTTTGAAGCAAATTGGGTTAAAATAAGTGGGTGATTTCAAAGCATTTTGAAAGTGACATACTTCCTGCTGCCAGTTGGTGGCGCTATAACTTTGACTCACAATAGTCACATCCATGTGATCAGCCTCTTACAGCGAACACACTGCTGAAGTTTCATCGAGATCAGTTAATGTATGCAGAAGTTATAACACACTACCTGTTTCACGTTTCTCGCCATAATTTCGTTTCCTCGCCACGGCCAAAACGTTCGAGATATCAAAAATCCCCTGGCAATTATTCATCCTCAATGTATTGACTTCATGCTGACCGAGTTTTTTGCCATTTCTTTGAATTCTCTAGGAGAAGTACTTTAAATTCCATTGCATGCGTTTTACAAACAACCCTAAATAGCCGACTTCCTGTTGGGCTGGGGTAAAAAGTAAGAGTATGAAGTATATATGAACCGATGAGATCTATATGTGTACCGAGTTTCATATTCTTACATGCAAGCGTGTTTGATTTATGGACCAAGTTTTCGGACCAAGTTTTCGGACCCCGTTCCAGGGGGCGCCGTCGAGCCCCCCTGCCACGCCCGGGTACCATCTTCAGCCCGACCCTGATGGCCGCGGGTTCTGACACGTGTGCAAAGTTTCAAGAGCTTTCGGGCACGTTAAGGGCCCCAAAAGTGCCCGAATAGTCAATTTTTTTTTTTATATATATATATATATATATAAAATATAGCTGCGAGCAGCGATTACGGGCCCAAGCCGGTGGCACCGCAACCCCGGTGCCTCTAGTTACCTAAAGGCACCGGGGTGGCGGTGCCGCCGGCTTTGGCCCTTCATCACTGCTCGCAGCTATATTTTATAAATATATATATATATATATATATATATATATATATTAGTGCTGGGCAACGATTAAAAATTTTAATCGCGATTAATCGCATGACCAGGAGTATTCCCTTTACACTGTAGCAATAAAATATTTATTGTAAATCTCAACTTAAACATTAATGTACTCAAATCAAATATGAAAACAAAGCTATGCCACTGCCAGGGCATTACCTTGTATGTAGACTGTTAAAACGAGTCCAGTTTTCTTGTTGTTTTTTTTCTGAACAGGTATCAAGAGGTATCTTTTATCAGGGAGCAGCAGAAACAGTCTATGTAGTCAGAGGTCATGACCACTACTACAGATATAAGTCGACCAACGTTACTTCTCTGATAGTGGCTTAGGTTTGGTCATGACATGGTTTCCCACGTAGGCCTACACTAGATTACATTAAACAGATGTAAAGCCCAATTTATACTTCTGCGTCGAACTCACGGCGTAGCTACGTACCTGCTGTGTGTGTAGCGCGCGTACGCTGACGTGCACCTCTCCAAAAATGTAACAATGCATCAATTATACGCGTAGCCTACCGCAAGCGCTGTGATTGCTAGAACCGACAAGCTAGTGCGACAAGCGAGTGTGTTCCTGTAAAACTGTTGCGGTCATGCTCGCCTCACGCACGCGCTCGCGCCCTCCTGTTGCCGAAGTTGAATTGACGCGCAGCACAAATCATTGAGACTGATCCTCGGCTCGCTGTTTGTGAGTTTCCACAATCTAAATAGTTATCAGGACGTCATCAACAGAAGGGAATTCACATGGCAGCACATCTCCACTAAACTAAACGCAGGCCTATCAGGTAAAGTTATGTATAATTTTAATTTAAGTTAAAAAGGCTACAGCTGCGTAGCGCACAGAAGCCGTTGCCATGGTTACTATAGAGCGCCTGTCATTCACTCGCGGAGTGCTGTCTCCCTTTCTGTTCATCTGAGAGAACCTGCCAAAGCCTCTCCACTGCTTGTTTGGGTGGGTTATTTGCTGGCTGACCAACAACCCACCCCTCCTGTGATCCATGGTTTGACTGTAGGCCTATGTGTATTCAGAGCCAGTGAGCAAAAACTGCGTTAACGTGCGATAAAAAAAATTGTCGACATTAATTAATAAATGCGTTAACGCGATAATAACGCGTTACCTTGCCCAGCCCTAATATATATATATATATATATATATATATAAAAAGCCGGTGGCACCGCCACCCTGGTGCCTTTAGGGTTATTGTGCACGACGTGACACAAAATATCAAAATATCTGCTCGCTATCTGCCGAACGGCTCTGGTAGTTCCGCTTCAGCACTGATGATGTTGTAGAAATAGTGCGCTCTGGTTGGTCTGGATTATTCGGGATTTTTTATTTTATACAGAAATAAGTTATTTATAATTCAGATGAGAATAAAGTTAGTGTTGATTAAAATGAAGGAAAACAAATATATTGATCTGAAATATAGCACATTAATTTTAAATTTATTTAGGTTCAATTACCAAACATACAATCTTAATTTAATTCAAACAATACATTTAAAATATATGGGTTGTATGCACATTTTGTAATAAAAAAAAAGATATATATCCAAAAAGACAAGGCCTTAAAGGGTTAAACTCTTGTCACTGTAACAGACACAATCTCTCACTCACACACACACACACACACACGTCAAGTCACTTACATTGTTGGAGCTACATTAGTTTGTTTTCAGTATTGGTAATTTTGTTAATTTATTATTATGATTTTGTTCACATTAGTAATATAATTTGGTAATGTTTCTTTGTTTGTTTGATTAGTTAATTGTGTTTTTTATTTATATGTTTAGTCTTTATTTTTGGTTAGTTTAATAATTGCAATGTTTGATTTAGACACCTGAGGGCAGTAGTGGGCACAGGTGAGGGTAAATATAGGTAGGAAGTAGGAAGTAACCTGGAGCACCTGGGTGATGGGCACATGGTTTTTTACCAGCGCGAGAGATGCTGTATTGCTTGCTCAGTTGGAACAAATAAACCAGCCACAAACCCTGAATCCAGCCTGCGTACATCACCTGCCCAGAGTGCTAGAAGTTGTCGTTTGGAAGGTTTGATTTAAGTTTAATTTTCTTTTGTTTGTTGACAAACGGCCGCTACATACATTTTAGATGCAATATTGACTTTTTTTCAGTTTCAGCAGCAA